TCTCCCTCCCCTCCCCCCCCCCGGGGTCTTGGCTCCCCTGTGCGTGCTGCTGAAGGTGAGGTCTGTCTCCAGCAGCAGGTGCCGGCCCAGAAGGCTGCGCCAGTGGTGCTGGACGTGGGGCGGAAGCAGAAGCCCGCCAAGAAGCAGAAGAAGAAGAAGGACCCAAACGAGCCGCAGAAGCCGGTCTCGGCCTATGCCCTGTTCTTCCGTGACACGCAGGCCGCCATCAAGGGCCAGAACCCCAACGCCACCTTCGGGGAGGTCTCTAAGATCGTGGCCTCTATGTGGGACAGCTTGGGCGAGGAGCAGAAACAGGTGGGTAGGGCAGTGGGGGTCTGGGGGGAAGAGCACAGGCAGGTGAGGGCTGGGGAGGGGCAGGGCGTGGGCGTGGGCGTTGCTGCTCACCCCCTGTCCTTCCTCGCCAGGTTTACAAGCGGAAGACGGAGGCGGCGAAGAAGGAGTATCTGAAGGCGCTGGCGGCCTATCGGGCTATCCAGGTGCGTCAGGCACAGGGTAACTGCGCTCGGTGCTGTATGCATGGTCCCAGGCCGAGGGCAGCAAACAGCCGCTCTGTGCCCTGCAGTTCTGAAGGCGGGCTGGGCTCAGCAGGTACCAGCTCAGCGGAGAGACGGGGGCTGGATGAGGAGCAGGGTGGAACGAAGCAGAGATGGAGGTGGAGGGAGAGGGTCAGAAAAAATAGCTGAGGGAGTCCAGCAAAACTGTAGTTCTCGGAAGGTCCCTGCTTCAGTTGCTTCTCCCCCGCCTGGCAGGAGGCTCTGGCTCGTCCGTTCTCCCCTAGGGCTCCTCTCTGGGTTGCCGCAGGGAGGAGGGGGCTGCCCTGCATTGTTCAGGGTTCCCAGGGGGGCCTTAGTTGGTCCCCCCCTTCCCTGCTTTCTCTGCTCTTGGGCTAATCTTCCTTCTCCCTCTCTGCAGACGGTAGCCGAGACGGCGGAGCTGGACCTGAACCCAGTGCCGCCCCCAGCAGCTCCCCAGCCAGCACCAGCTCCGGCCCCCGCGGCCCCTGTGCCAGCCCCCACACCCCCTGCCCCCTCGCCGGTTCTGGAGTCCCCACCAGCCACCCCCCAGCCAGCGCCCACCCCCGGGAACCTCTGCTCGCCGCCGCCAGCCCAGCCCAGCTTCACCAAGATAATCATCCCCAAGCAGATGCTGCCCTTGTCCTCGCAGGGCGGTGTGGTCACTGTCATCCCCGTCACCTCCGTCACCTCCAGGGGGCTGCAGCTGGGCACAGGCGCCACCCAGATAGTCACCCGCTCTGTGCTGCAGGCAGCGGCCGCTGCCGCCGCCGCTGCCTCCTCCATGCAGCTGCCCCGGCTCCAGCCCCCGCCCCTGCAGCAGATGCCCCCGCCCCAGCCCCCTGCCCAGCAGGTTGCCGTCCTGCAGCCGCCGCCGCCCTTGCAGGCCATGCAGCAGCCCGCCCTGCAGCAGAAGGTGCGGCTCCACCTGCAGCAACAGCCCCCGCCCCTGCAGATCAAGATCCTGCCTCCACCAGCCCTGCAGATCCAGCCTGTCACCCTGCAGCCCGAGGAGGCCAGTCCCGAGCGGCCCAGCCCGGAGCCCCAGGGCTCCCCAGAGCCCGTGGAGATGATCACGGCCGACGTGGTGCCCGAGGTGAGGAGGAGAGAACGGGAGCCCCGTGGCCCTGCTCCTGGGAGGGCTGGACGGAAGCCTTGCGGTCGATGGGGGGCTGGCGGGGCCAAGAGCCAGCACATTCAAAGGCCATGGGGTAGGATGGACTGGAGAAGTGTATATGACCCGGGGGTTCTCTGTGTGGGTCGTGGGGGGATAGGCTGGGTGCAGGGGAGTGATGGAGGGGTGACGTGGGGACAGGATGGGTGCAGGGGGGTGTTGGGTTGTGGAGGGGTGACAGGCTGGGTGCAGGGGGTTGTGGAGGGTTGGCATGGGGGGATAGGTGTGGAGGGGTGGCATGGGGGGACAGGCTGGGTGCAGGGAGTTGTGGGGGGACAGGCTGGGTGGGGGGATAGGCTGGGGGAAAAGGCTGGGTGCAGGGCTGTGTGGAGGAGGAT